TATGTACCAAATTTCAGCTCTCTAGGACTTACCAGTTGTCATATCTCACGTTAGGGGGCGCTGTAGAGCAGTTTGGCCACGCCCACTTTTGGTTCCATTATCATACTACTATTTCTCACGGGGGACAATTTTGGGTAAAGTTTGGCTAGGTTTCAAATATGCTAACCCCTCCAAATAAGCGCTTAAACTTGGAAAAGAATAAGAAGAAGAATAATAAGAAACGACACAATTACAATAGGCCTTCGCAGCGCTTTGCTGCTCGGGCCTAATAACAACACATTCAGTGTAAGACAACACTCCAGTAGACAATCACATGCCAGGGAGACAGAAAAGTGGGTCAAGAATTTATCTGACAGACAGCTCACCCAGTCGGAGACAGAGATTCTTGCCAGGGGACTGAACTTTGCAGTTGTACCAAGTAGAATTCCTCTGGTGGAGATGATCACAGCCACAGAATCAGCCATCCGCAACAACAAAATTAAAGAGGGTGAAGCAGAACAACTCAGAATCAAGGTGTCAGCCTGCCTCAGCAATGCCAAACCACCACCTTCCAACATCAGTGGAGAGGAGAGGGATGCACTCACCACTCTTAGCAAGGATAAAAACATCATCATTCTCCCAGCAGACAAAGGAAGGTGCACCAAGTCTGTATGGTTTACCGAAAATCCACAAACAAGGTGTACCTTTAAGACCAATTGTTAGCATGATTAACTCTGTCACTTACAATGTTTCCAAATATATGGTGTCTGTGCTCATCCGTTTAGATGGCAGCTCAGAACACCACATACAGAACACCATGGACTTTGTGGATAAGGTGAGGGATGTCATCATGGAGACTGATGAAAAAATGGTCTCTTTTGATGTCATATCACTCTTTACGTGCATTCCTGTTGATGATGCATTAAAGGTGGTCAGTTTAAGATTAAAATCAGACACCACTCTGAGCAGCAGGACCACGCTTTCCACAGAACAACTGTGTCAACTCTTGAAACTGTGCCTGCAGTCAACCTACTTCACGAATGGGAACAATATCATCACCTTGCGCTGCCTGGCACAAGAAAAAACTAAACTAAAACTGAACTGAATCCTGGACTCGGGTTGTTTACTAGAACCTCCTTCGGACATGGCAAGATGGCGCCTGTGTTTGGCTTTGCCTCTGCCAGGTTGTTACTTACTTCATATATTATTTTATTGTTATGTTTCTGTCTGGGGTGGCTTCCTTGCGGACATATGACCGCCACTCACTACTGACAATCAAGTCTGTGATGGTCAACTTTCAGTGTCATAAAAACTGAGTTACATTTCCACCACCGCTACAATACCTCTTGGATGTTCCACGTATGTGGCTGAAAACTAAAGGGGACAGGGCGTTTCAGTCATTGGCTCCAAGGCTGTGGAACAGTTTGCCCCTGCAACTTTGTACTGCTGACTCTGTTAAGGTTTTTAAAAAGCAACTGAAAACACTTTTATTCTCCCAGGCTTTTATTTAATGATTTTATTGTGCTTCTTGTAGTTCTTATGCTTGTTTTATTCTTTGTATATTTTAGCGTTGATTTTTATTGTACAGCGCTTTGTGATTTTATGTCTGTGATAAGCACTTTATAAATAAACTTTACTTACTTACAATATTATAGGCAGAAACATGGGTGTGCCATGGGGTCTCCAATTTCTCCTGAGAGCCTTGACGTCCTTTTCAGGGACACCACCAAGTCATTGGTTCAAGTATGTTGATGACACCTGGGTTAAAATTAAATCTCAGGAAGTCCAACATTTTACTAACCACATCAACTCTGTGGATAAATACATCACATTCACACAAGAAGATGTAAAAATTGGCAGGTTGGCTTTCTTGGACTGTGAGGTCTCAGTCTCTGATAGAGGACATTTGCAAACTTAGGTGTACTGCAAACCCACCCATACAGACCAGTATTTGCAGTTTGACTTCCATCACCCATTGGAGCACAAGTTGGGAGTCATCAGGACTCTGTACCACAGAGCAGACAGCGTCCCCAATAACTCAGGAGCCAGGCAGAAGGAGAAATCCCACACAAGACTCCAGTTAGCCATCAGGTGATAAGGAGGAACCCAGACCCAGACAAGTGGTCATTCCATATGTTGAGGAAGTATCAGAGAAACTGAGACGTTTATTTTCTAAACACAACGTCCCAGTGGCTTTTAAACCCCAAAATACATTACGGCAAAGACTGGTTCATCCCAAAGATCCAGTCCCCCGGCACAAACAGAGTAATGTTGTGTATGCTGTTCAGTGTCAGGAGGGCTGTGATTAGTCTTACATTGGGGAAACTAAACAGCCACTGGCCAAAAGAATGGCCCAGCACAGAAGAGCAACACCATCAGGCCAAGACTGCGCTCTACACTCATCTCCAGGCCAGCAGTCACTCTTTCAGGGATGAAGATGTTCACATCCTGGATAGAGAGGAACGTTGGTTTGAGAGAGGAGTAAAGGAGGCCATTTTTGTGAAAAGAAATTGTCCATCATTAAACAGGGGTGGAGGCCTCCGGGTTCAACTGTCCCCCTCTTACAATGCTGTTATTGCTAGTATCACTCAGCCTCCTGTGAATAGTAAACAGCCATCAGTGTGCTAATGATCCATTGTTAGGCTGATGGTCCTTCTTGATCATGTGAGCATCTGATTTTGGTTGTAGGTAGCAAAACTGGTTGATCCATTCTGAGAAGGTGCTATTTAAGAGACTGAGCTGAATACAGCACCTCAGACTGAGGAAGTCTTTCGGATGAAAGATGAAACGTTTCTACCTTTTTTTTTTGTTTGTTTTGCTATGTTTTGTTTTTTGTATGTCCAGAGGACCAGATTTAACTTTTTTAGTTTTTTCTACCTGGATTATTGAGCATGCATTAGGATAAGGAATTTAAGAGATTGCATTGTATTTTAGGAACGTTTTATTTTGAATAAAGGTAAATACATCATTAAGCACAAAAGTTACAAATCCCAAAAGTTATAGCACATTAATCCCAACTGCACAGAACATTTTGATATTTTAAAAGTAGCACAATGTTTGCAGAAGCATTTAGAAATATAATGAGGAAACTATAGGGTTCAGCGGTTGTGATGAAACATACTGTCATGTTTTAGAGTTCACTGCTTAGACACACATTTATCATTTCTACTGCTTTTTTTTTTTTCATTCAACCTTTATTTAGACAGGTAAATCCCATGGAGATTCGAGGACTCATTTGCAAGAGAGACCTGATTTCAACAAAGAAAGATGACACCAATGGAAACAGCAACAACAATAAACAATTATAAAAAGTAATACTGCAGGTTTTTTTTTTTTTTTTTTTTTTTACAAATAGGATGGCTAAAAGAAAAAGGTAACAAAAAAAACAGCTAGATTCTAAGGCGAATGTAGAAAACTAAAAACAGGAACATGTCAGCATTGGACCCTGCCAGGAGTCCAACAGATTCTTAAAGCCACTTAGAGAGGTCAAGGTCGAGGTCTTCAAATCTTTTTGTAAGATATTCCAGGAAACAGGAGCGGAGTAGGAGAAGGCCCTTTTGCCTAGTTCAGTCCTCATTGAGGGAACATTGCAGGTAATAATGTCCTGAGAGCGCACTCCGTAGCTGCACTCACGCAGAGACATGTAGGAGGAGATGTATGAAGGCAGCAGACCAAGAAGTGATTTAAAGATGAAAATGTACCAGTGAGAGAGTCTGCGTGAAGTTAATGATGTCCAGTTAACCAGTGAATACAGGGTGCAGTGGTGGGTACGATAATCACAGCTAGTTTTTTTAGTGCACCATGATAGAAGTGCACCATGATAGACAGCATCCAACATCTGCAGGGTTCTTGTAGGAGTGTTCATGTAAATAATGTCACCGTAATCAATGGAGGGAAGGAAAGTCACAGATACAAGGCGTTTTCTAGCATTCAGGGTTAGACAGGATCTGTTTCTGAAAAAGAAATGCAGTTTAACTTTCAGTTTCTTTACCAAGTTTTCCACATGGAGCTTAAAAGAGAGATGTGAGTCGACCAAATATTTATAGGAATCAACAAACTCAATGGGGATACCATTTGAGGATAAAATCGGAGGAAGAACTGCTGGGACCGACTTCCTATTTGAAAAAAGCATCCCTTTGGTTTTGTCGGCATTTAGGACAAGTTTGACGTGGAACAAATCTGTCTGGATGATGTTGAATGCAGATTTCAAAAGCTGGAAAGGCTTATCAACTGTTTCAGCTCGGCAATAAACAACTGTGTCATCAGCATAGAAATGTAAGGATGCATTAGGGATGTTTTTACCTACATTATGTATGTAGATTGTAAAGAGGGTGGAACCTGAGACTGAGCCTTGTGGTACACCATTGTTGACTGTTAAATAACTGGAGGAAGTACCATTATGTTGAACACATTGCCTCCGGTCTAAAAGATAGTTAGAGAACAAACCAATGGTGTGTTCTGAGAAACCGATTTCTGAGAGTTTATGACACAAGATTTTCTTCTTCCCTGTTTGCTGCTGATATGGGAGTTGGTTAATTTTCACCATCTAATTTGATTGGTCAGATGTCAGAATAGAGCAGGATCTTATTGTTTGGAGGATTGAACTTTGGTTTGTAGCCTGGAGCTCATTCTCTGGTTTGATGTTATTAGGTGTGAGTGGTCTGAGCATCAAGTCCTCCAAAAGGATCACTATGCGTGCAGCCACGTACATCGTCTCAACCACACTTGTGGCTGTGACTATAGGTAAGACAGAAAAAGTATTATACTGTATATCAGACAGCTGTAGACCTGCATCCACAACATGAGTTCTGCTGTTGCTGTTGACATTCAGCTTTGGTTTGTGTTTCAGGAATGATCCTGGTGTTCCTGATTAAGCCAGGAGTTGCTTATGCTATAACAAGTGAAGATGATAATGAAGAGGAGTCCTTCTCCACTGTGGATACATTGATGGATCTTGTAAGGTAAGAAGAATCATGTTTTCATTAGCAAATACCTGTTTAAAATATTGATTAGAAAATGTATTTAACATTGAAAACGGGTGATAATGTTTGTTCTTGTATATGTTTAATTGTACTATTGTATTAGCCATACAGTAGTCCCTCGTTTATTGCAGGGGTTCGGATCCAAACCCCCTGCAATAAGTGAAAATCCGCAAAGTAGCGACACTATTTATATTATTATTCATATATATTTTAAGGCTTTATAAACCCTTCCCGCACTCTTGCAATGTTCTAGGGTCGGCCGTGGCTGAGTGGTTAGAGCAGTTGTCCTCAAATGCAAGAGTTGGGGGTTTGAATCCACCAGCAGTCACATGCCGAAGTGTCCCTGGGCAAGACGCTGAACCCCTAGTTTCCTCCGATGTGTGTCACATTGGTGTATGAATGTGATAAAGCTCTGATTAGTCTCTTTAGAATGATTTGTTCAATTAGCTTTGTAGAGATCAAGTAGAGTGCTGTATGAATGGGTAAATGAGGGCACAGATTGTAGTGTAAAGCGCTTTGAGTATCTCAATAAGATAGAAAGGCGCTATATAAGTACAGTCCGTTTACCATTAAACCCAGTGACGTGCAGTCAGGGGTGGCAGTGCTTCTCTTGTCATTATGACAACTAAAATACTGACAATGTTAAGAGGAATTACATTGGACCACTTGACTGTTCTATAAAAGTGTTTTAGAAAACTGGTTTCAGAATTATTTCAACACTTCAGTGGTCAAAATCGTGGAATTTACGCATTGCCTGTTCAGACAATGTGGGGTGAGGCAGTGTAGTGCTCTGGTTCACTTCTGGGGGCGCTGTGTTATATACAACATATGAAGTAGGTGGTTGGTGCATGCCCATTGCTGCCTCTTTATATCGCCAATATACATGTTTGATTACACGTGCTACACATGTTGATACCATACCATACCATACCAATTTATTTATATAGCACTTAAAACAGCAACAAGGCCAACCAAAGTGCTGTACAAAAGAAACACAAACATGCACAGCGAACAGGAAAACATAAAATAGAAATACAGATACAAATAGCAGCAGAAGCTAACTAAAATGGCCAACAGAGTAGAGAACAGACCGGACCAAAACAAATCACACCGTGTTAAAGGCAAGCGAATAGAAGTGGGTCTTCAAGCGAGACTTAAAGACTGAGAGTGTGGGAGCCTGCCGGACACTCAGTGGCAACTCATTCCACAGTCGTGGACCTGCAACAGAGAAAGCCCTGTCACCTCTGAGCTTACGACTGGTTTCTGGGACTGAGAGAAGCATCTGGTCTGCTGACCTCAGAGAGCGCGGTGGGACATATGGCTGCAGAAGATCAGTGAGATAGGATGGGGCGGAACTGTTCAGTGATTTAAAAACGTACATGAGAATTTTGAAATGGATCCGAAGGTGAATGGGTAGCCAGTGCAGGGAGGCCAAAACTGGCGTGATGTGCTCTCTATAGCCTGTGCCAGTTAAAAATCGGGCTGCAGCATTTTGGACCAGTTGTAGACGAGCAATGGAGGACTGACTGATTCCAAACAGAAGTGAATTGCAGTAATCAAGCCTAGATGTTATGAAGGCGTGGATCACTGTCTCGAGGTTCTTTTTGTTGAGTATAGGCTTCAGCTTAGACAGCCGTCTCAGCTGAAAAAAACAGGATTTGACCATCATGTTTACGTGACTGTTGAGTTTTAAGGACGGGTCCATTATCACCCCCAAATTAGTCACCTTTTGTTTCTCTAGCGGGGCTAGAGAGAAAAGGTCAATGTCATGGTTAATGAGTGAGCCACTGGGATGGAACAGCATGACTTCAGACTTCTTCTCATTGAAGCTTAAGAAGTTTAAAGCCATCCAGTCCCGGATGTCAGCCAGGCAGTCAAGAAGAGGCTGAATAGAGCGTGTGCCTCTGTGCCTCAGGGGGAAGTAAATTTGGCAATCATCGGCATAGAAATGAAAGGGTATGTCGTGTTTGCGGAAGATAGCACCTAGTGGCAGCAGGTATAAAAAAAAGAGAAGGGGACCGAGGATGGACCCCTGCGGTACCCCCCACTGGAGTGCGGTCGATGCCGAACTAAAATCTTTGATATTGACACAGAAGGTTCTGTCAGAGAGGTAGGACCCAAACCATTTAAGGGCTGACCCTGTGATGCCCACCCACTGCTCCAGTCTAGAAATGAGGATATTGTGGTCGATGGTGTCAAAAGCAGATGTAAGGTCCAATAGGACAAGCAGCACAGAATCACCTGCGTCTGTGGATATGAAAATGTCATTAAAAACCTTCAGTAGAGCAGTTTCAGTGCTATGGAGAGATTTGAAGCCAGATTGGAATAACTCAAGGATAGCGTGATCCCCCAAAAACTGTTTCAACTGAGACTCCACAATTTTTTCCAGTAGTTTAGAGGTGAATGGGAGTCTGGAGACAGGCCGGAAGTTGGACATGACTGAGGGGTCAAGGTTAGGTTTTTTCAGGAGGGGCTGGACAGCAGCATGTTTAAAAGTCTTTGGCACCACACCTGAGGATAAACTGCTATTCAGAATAGTGAGGATAAAAGGACCCAGGGTAGGAAAAACTTCCTTTAGTAGTCGAGGGGGAACCACATCAAAGGGGGAACCAGATGGCTTCATGCTGCACAATACCTGCTCCAGAGAGGACAGAGAGATGGGCTCAAAGTGG